AAAAAAAAAAAAAGCATGGGAGCTCAGAAGAGGGGAATGGTGAGGGAGTAGGTAGTTCGAAAAGACCAAAATTATGATGATTTTTTAAAAAGGAATGCAAAGGTGCAAATTAAACTGTTTTGCTTTCAGATTCTAACGTATCTTTATCAGATAGCTGTGAGAAATACAAAAATTAGGTCCACGCCAGGCAAGGCTTGTGGAGTCCCTGTGACTTCTACCAAGTTAGTAGACCTTGCTGCCGCCGAGGCTACAAAGCCGGGACAGAAAGGTCCAGTTGAAGGGTGGTGTAAAGTGCCTAGGACGGTGCTCAGGACCAGTAGACGGAGTCATGGACAGCGGGCCAGAGAGGGGAGACGCTGCGTGCTGGGGAAGCTGGCGTCTGGAGTGGGCTCCTTAGTCCTCAGGTTTAACCACCCAGCCTCCGGGCTGCATGAGGCTGGTGCGGGAGCAGAGACCCGCATCTGGCACAGAACCCGGGTTCAGACTCACGGCGGACTCCCCAACCCCGCCCCGTCGCTCCCCGGTGCTGTCAAAGCTCGGACCCAGCGCAACCGACCACACCCAGCTCTGCCTGCAGCCAAATCTGAGTCGCTGGAGCCCAGCGCGTCGCTTCCCACAGGTGCGGTGACACCGGGAAAGCGGCCTCCGGTTCTCGATCTCAAACGCGGCGACGATGACTTCGTGCTGCAGGGCTGACAGGGGCCCGCGACCACCCAGCCTGGGGTCCGGGTCTGGGCTCTACGCCAGGGGTAACTGAGGCAGCGTGGAGAGCCGACGCGCAACTGCCGCGGGAAGGACCCGCGGTGGCCTCCCTACGTCCCAAGGCCTGCGAGAAAGAGAGACTCGCGGTAGTACGCACCTGCCGCGGCGTCGGCAGCGGAGGATCCCGGCCTCACCATGGCTCCCCAGCGACAGTTTCCCTTTCAAAGGCCGCGCCAGGAGCCACAGCCCCAGGGTCGCGCTTCTGCGCGCTCTCATTGGCTCCTGCGGGTTTGAAACCTACCAATTGAGAGCACGGGAGGGCGGGCCAACAAGAGATAGACGCTTTGTGGTTGGCTTTGCCCTTGACGTTCCTCCGGTGCCCTGTGATTGGAAGAACGTCGGCGTAAGTCAGCGTGGAGGTCGGCTTGTTCGGCGCAAGGCTGTTTGGCCTCTGAGGACTTCCGGCCCTTGCTAAAACACCGTCAGACTCGGTGGCGGTTGCAGTGTTGGTTGCGCGGTCGCTGGGCCGGTGCCCACTAGCTAGGGCGCCGCCTGACTCCTTTGTCGCAGCCTCTCAGTTCACAGGGAGCTATGGAACAAAACGAAAGCCCGTAACTCGGATGAGTTAGAGCTTTGCCACACTATTATATAACTCGACCTGATAGATGCAAAGGCTGTTAGTTCTTAGCCCTGCAGGGCGGCTTCTTTTTAACTGTGATGAAACATGCATGTATCATTTTAACGCTTTCTACCGTTATTTTTCTTCTCATTTTTGCTTCTGCGGTACTGGGGATTGAACCCAGGGCCTTTGCCCTGAGCTACGTTTGTGTTTTTAATTTTTGGCATTAAGTACATTAACCTTGCTGTGCAAATCTTCACCACTGTCCCTGGAACTGTTTGATCTTTCCCACCTGGGACGCTGTACCCATTTAACACGCAGCCTATTTCTACATGATGTCTTTAAGGCTCATCTGTGTGGTAGCATGTGCTAGCATTTCCTTCCTAGGGCTGAATAATACATACTCCATGGTATGGACAGGTCACATTTTGCTTGGCCACGAGTTCACAGATGGGACATGCTGTGTGCTTCCACCTTGTGGTGGTTGTGACGACATGCTATGAACGAGGGTGTACAATCGTCTCTTTGATATCTTCCTTTCAGTTGTTTTGGGTATTAAGAAGTGGCATTGTTGGATCACATGGTAATTCTATTTAAAATTTTTTAAAATTTATTTTATTTTTTATTTTAAAGATAAAAGAATGAAAACATATTAAACACATACATTGAGAAAATAACAAAAACAATACA